TTCTCTTTCCTTGATGTCATCACTTTCAGTGCAGTGGTTGGCTAATATAGGGAAGTCACAGAGACAGGAAATGGCAAAGTTCCTGGATCATTCATGTTTCTTAGAAACTGCTTCTTGCTGAATCCATGGCTGGTTATGGAGCTGAAAGTAAGTCTGGTCTCCAGACTGTCATGCCCAACCTCACTGAGTCACAGCCACAGAACTCCCCCTGTACTTACCTTGAGATGTGCTGAACTCCCACCAAAACTTGGCAGTCATACGGTATTTTGGACACTGTGTGTAAATGGGGAGGCAGGAGAGGACACATCCCTACTGCACTGCACACACCTCTTCTATTCTCCTGCGGGCTGTATTGTCCCATCAGTTCAAGTTTAAAAGTATTAAGAATTTCAAGAAGATGATAGGTAGAGCATCAGTGGTACCATTCCTGGCTGTGGGGGGGGTGGGGGCCTTGTTAGAATTCGAAGTTCCCATTCTGTTTCTCCCAGTCCTGCTGAGTCAGCACCTGCTGCCCAGCAAGATCCGCAGTTTGTGGGTGGGTTGAATTCTGGGAACCCTTGGTCTGGTCAAGACCACTGCAGGGTCCATCTCCCCTCCAGGAGGCAGGAGCGTTGTCTCAAATCTGCACCGCCCCTCTTTCCTCCTCAGGGCCCTACCTGTAGCTCCCTGGACCCTAGCAGCCCCATTGTCTGCAGGCTGCAAACCTGTTTATGAGGCTTTGTTCAGATCTCAGGTTTCATCTGCCTTCTATCCATCCATCCTAGTTATTTGTGCATTTATGAATCTCAGTGGCAAGGAAGAAACTACAAAGAGCAGCTATTAGCACCTTTCCTTTCAAAGGCAGATTTTAGGACTGGGCTGGAGACAGAATCCTCCGGAAGATGAGACCTTCTTAACAGAACGTGTAGCTGCGATGCCTGCATTATTGAGAATTCAAAACTGAAAACTCTGTTTCCCTTCTCTAGTTGGTATTTAATTCTACCTGCTTCCCTGCTCTTGCTAGCTTTAAAATTTCCCAGAGTGAATGAGGATACACTATAGTCTTATTCCCACCTTTGCTTGAAATTTTGCATAAAAAATTAGAAAAACGGTAACACATCAATTTTTTAAAAAAAATATGTGTTTCCTTATTTGTTTAATTATTGGGACGGCAGAGTGATTAGGGTAGGGAAGGCAGTTCTTTCATCCACAGGTTCACTCCCCAGATGGTTGCAACGGGTAGCGCTGAGCCAGACTAAAGTCAGGAGCAAGGAGCTCCATCCAGGTCTCCCATATAGGTAACATGCGCTCAAAGAAACACTTGCGGCATCATCTGCCTTCCCAGGCACGTTAGCAAGGAGATGGATTGGAAGCAAAGCAGCTGGGACTCAACTGGCACTCTGGGATGGGATGCTGGTGTTGCAAGCAGTATCTTAACCTGGGACACCACAATGACACCACAATGTCACTCCCTTCCACCCTCCCCCTCCTTTTTTTTTTAAGAGGAGACTAGGAAGAGGGTGGAAAATTTAATTTGTTAAAATTTAATTCAATAAAAATTTAATTTAGTTCAATAAGTTTCTAAGAATAATAATTTAAGAAATCACATGAAAATTAAGAAGTTTCACCTTCTTGTTTCACTTTCAAGCTCAGAAATAAAATAGAATCACCCCTTGGCTGAAACAGAATTGCCACTCAGCTCATGGGCAAAGCTTTATTGCACTTCTGAGCTGCAAACCACTGTAGCAGTTTCTGGCACAATAGTAGCTCCTCTCTGTGTAGGAGAGCATGGAAGAAACAAACAAAAAAAGCATAAAAAGAAAAAAGACTAGGAGAGAAGAGAAGGGAAAAGGGAGAGGAGAGAAGCAAGGAGTCTGTTTTGAGAAGACATCCACTGTTCTTTGAACTGGGATAGCCCCATTTTTCTCTTCATTGTCAACCCACCAGAAAACATCCTTCCAACAGCCAAGTTTGTCAGGAGACAACATTGGTTCAGTAACTGCTAATAGATTGTCAGTACCTTTCCTGTTTTTTTAAATATTTACTTATTTATTTAAAAAGGAGAGTTACAGAGAAAGAGAGAGAGAGAGAGAGAGAGAGAGAGATATCAAGAGATCTTCCATCTGCTGGTTCATTCTCCAAATGACCACAACAGCCAAGGCTGGATAGGCTGAAGCCAGGAGCTGGGAGCCTTATCTGGTTCTCCTATGTGGGTGCAGGGGGGCCAAACACTTCGACCATCTTCCACTTCTTTCCCAGGAACATTAGCAGGGGGCTGGATGGAAAGCTGAGCAGCAGGGACTCCAACCAGTGCCCATACGGGATGCTGGCATCACAGGTGGCGGCTTAACCCACTGTGCCGTGACACCGTCCCCATCAGTACCTTTCTGACATACAGACACCTCAGTTTTAAGACTAGGCTTTTATGTTCCTTGATGAAGACTGGAAATAGCAGATAGAAAAGACAATCTGTGGGACGGGGTGTTTGGTGCAGTGGTCACGATGCCGTTCAGGACACCTGCATTCCCTATTAGAGTGTCTAGGTTCCAGTTTTGCCTCTGCTCCCAATTCCAGCTTCCTGCTAATGCACACCCGGGGAGGCAGCAGATCATGGCGAAAGTACTTGGTTCCCTGCCACCCATGTAGGAGACCAAGATGGAGATCCTCGTCCCTGGCTTCAGTCTGGCCCAGCCCTGGCTGTCGCAGCCATTTAGGAAGTGAACCAGCAGATGGAAGACCTCTCCCCCGCCCCTCTCCCTCCCTCTCCCTCTCTCTCTCTTTCTCTCTCTGTGTGTGTGACTCTCTTTTTCTGCTTTTCTTTTTAATTTATTTATTATTTGAAAGGCAGAGTTACAGAGAGGCAGAGGCAGAGACAGAGAAAAAACTCTTCCATCTGCTGGTTCACTCCCCAAATGGCTGCAACAGCTGGAGCTGGGCCAATCCAAAGCCAGGAGCCAGCAGCTTCTTCCAGGTCTCCCATGTGGGTGCAGGAGCCCAAGTCCTTGGGCCATCTTCTCCCATCTTCCCAGGCCATTAGCAGGGAGCTGGATTGGAAGTGGAGCAGCTGGATCTCGAACCTGCACCCATACGGGATGCCAGCATGGCAGGTAGTGGCTTTACCTGCTCTGCCACAGCACTGGCCCCTCTTTTTCTGCTTTTCAAAAAAAAAAAATGCAACTTAGGGGTGGGAGAGTGAGAGGTGGTGAGGGGCATGGCTGGGAGCTGTGAGGAGGGGCATGACTCAGCCCTCTTGAGGGCAACACAACTCAGCAGCTTGCCTCTTCCGTTACTCTTGCTCTACTTCCAAACAAGGCAGAAGCAACAAGGAAACAGTGAGAAAATTGCTTTTTGGAGTTGTGCTTTTACTGCATAACTATGTACTGTGAAGTATTTCCTTATAAAATTGCCCAGCTTGCACAATGACAGCATTCTCTTTTGGATCGCCAACTCAGGACCTTTGGTAGCATGAGGGACAAGGACATTTTAAATTCATGGGAAACACAAAACCCCCTTTGTGGGCATGGGTTTCAGCTGCCGCCTCAGGTAACAAGAGTTGAGCTAAGTTTCCCTTCTTTTCCTTTCCTTGTCCATTGATTCTCTGGCCAAGGTGCTATCGAGTAGCCTGGTGACCCACAGGCCAGGGGAAAGAGGAGGTGGTGCATGGCAGGCCAGCTCACCAGCTGGAGAGTGGGTGGTTTCATCAGAAGGCAGCTGCATTTCCAGGGCCAGATCAAAGTCAGGCTCAAAAAGTTCAGTGTGGTTTCAGCAGAAGCCACAGGTGTAGATATCAGAGTCAGTCTGAGCTGGAAGGGGAGATAGGAAACTCTCACTTCCTCTCCTCCATTTCTCAAGGGACTAAATTTAAGAGCTGAGTTAAGAGTTGGGAAGCCCACACTCTCCAAACTCAGGTCTTGCAGTTAGCCTGAACTAAGGTCTAAAGCTGTCTCTGCCCTTGAGCAAGTTATTTATCATCTTTTTTTTTAAAATTATTTTATTTATTTGAAACAGTTACAGAGAGAGGTAGAGACAGAGAAAGAGGTCTTCCATCTGCTGGTTCACTCCCCAGATGTCTGCAACAGCCAGAGATGCGCCAATCCTAAGCCAGGAGCCAGGGGATTCTTCTGGGTTTCCCACGCAGGTGCAGGGGCCCATGGACCTGGGCCATCTTCTACTGCTTTCCCAGGCCACAGCAGAGAGCTGGATCGGAAATGGAGTAGCCGGGACTAGAACCAGCACCCATATGGGATGCCAGCGCTTCAGGCCAGGTCATTAACCCACTGCGCCACAGCGCCCGGCCCCTATTTATCATCTTTGAACCTTACTATCTGCATCTATAAAACAGGGACAATATTATCACTACCTGGTGGCTCTCTGGGAGGAATCAGTGAAAAAGTACATGCAATGCCAACAGCCCAGAGCACAGAGCTTAATAAGCATTAGAAGAAATGCTGGAAGTTATTTTAAAGGGGATGGCATTGCCTAGAAGGCCAGGGCTGTCCATTTGCTCCATTTCCCAAGAACATATGCAAGGGCGATCAGTGAGTTGGCAAAGCTACGATTGGCTCATTTCCTGTGGTGTCAAAAGATCTCTTGGGAAGCTGCAGCCTGGGGTCATGAGTGGGTGGATCCATACCATCACCCTTTAAGAGCAACACCTACTGTTTTTCTTTGCCTGGTTTTCCTCTTCCTCTTCTGCCTGCTTCTTTCTCATCTCCTTTCTTTCCCAACAGCCTCATCAGCTCCAGTCTTTTCCTCACAGCAACTTGAAGGAAGTCATCTTGGGAAAGCTGAGCCCCACTTGCCTTCCACACATGTGAGGGCAGACGCTCAGTCCCTTTGCACCAGCATCCTGCAATTGCTCATTATTCTCCGTTCATCCTGCTCTTTCCATTTCCCCTTTGTGCCCAAACTCCTGGCAGGGAAGCCCGAAGACAAGTCTGAGGGGAATTCTGAAGTAATGGCTTTACTTTATGATTTACCATTAAGTAGCTTAGATTTTAAGATTTTATTTATTCACTTACTTGAAAGGGAAAGATGGGGAGAGAGATCTCCCATTTGCTGGTTCATTCCCCCAAATTCCTGCAACAGCCAGGGCTGGTATATAGATCAAGGCAAAGAATGTTGAACTCCATCCAGCTCTCCATGGGTTAGCAAGGACCAAAGTACTTGAGCCATCATCTGCTGCCTCCAAGGCGCTCATTAGCTGGAACAAAGAGTGGAACTGGGACTCAAACCCAGGCTATGTGACATGGGATGTCCCAAAGAGTGAGCCAACCCTTGTGCCAAATACCTTCCCCAAACCACTTAAATTTTAGATGGCGACCCTCTACTTTGGACTCCTGAAATCACACTACATGTGTAGTCCTCTCATATGCTTTATATCAGGTATGGCCTATACAGACAGGCCTTGGTTGGGTTCAAACTCAAGCAATACACCTGAACTTAGCTGGCAAGTGTTAACAGGAAGTAGTAGGGTGTGGGGTGTGCTGGAAGGCTCAGGCCCTACTTACAGGCATTCAGGTCATTGGGGTGGCTGTTACTTATACTCGGGACCATGGCACTGGCCACTGATTTCAGGTGTTGCACCATCATATATTTTCTAACTCCCATTTGTAAAGATAACAACAATAACAACAATTTAAAGGAGTCGATATACTGCTTTATCAGTCATTAACATAAACGTAACTGTCTTTGGATAGCGCTTGCCAAAGATGACCAGTTGTAATTATTTACAACCGGGCTAGGGATTGACTGTCAAACTCAACTCTCGAGCATAAGTTTTGGCAAGAGAATCTGAGGAGTTATCTCTTTTCTGGATGGAGCCAAGGGCTTCTTCTTTCCCTACCTGGTTTCATGCCATTTTCCCATCTCTTTATGGTCCAGACGTGTGCAGCAGGCTGATTGTGTCTTTAAATTAGAACAATGCAGTGACTGTAAAATATGCATAACTGTGATGAACAGGAAGGACAACCACCTGTCACCTCCTTACATCTAAAGACTCACTAACTGCTGGTGACTCTATCTTTAGCTGGAAAGTACTAAACAATTAGGGAGCAGTGGGTCCTGGGGTGAGCTGGTGGGCTCATGCGCCGCTTAAAGGCACTTAGATTTTATTCAGACATAGTGGTGGCCATAAAAGCAACATCTGCAGGCTGAAAAGTCCATGAGCAATGAATTTACTACCTCAGGAAAATTCCCTTCTTCTATGACCTGACCTCCACCGTGGACTCATATTTCGAACTATAACCTGACTCACACTTTGGGCCCCAGTAACTCCCTTTGCTGATTTTCCCTGTGTTGCATGTCTGCCTGTCCCTGTTCTTTATCTGCCTAAGTCTTTTTATTCTTTCTTTAAAACTTAGGCTTTCTTGGATCATCCTCCCATGCCTAGGTGGGCCAACATTTATCTTTGGTGCCTTCATAGAACTACCCTCCATCATTACATTGACTGCATTATTTAAAAATTTTATCACTATTCTGGTTTCTTCAAGGAATATGAAGACAATGTGGCATTTTGCATGATTCTTTATAGTAACATTGTAATACAGATATTGAGGACCTATGTCTGTAATAACCACTCTTGAAATATTTGCCAAATCAAACACTAATCTGAGAGTGCAAAAGAGCTCCAAGAGTCATTTGTTACTTGGGGACTGCTTAATTATTGGGCCAATACTGTATGTCCTAAGTATTCTTTCTAGATAGAAATAACATATATTTTCAAGTGGGTTCGTGGAATAAAATGAAATCAGATGAACCTGAAAAACCATCACAGTGCCTGTAATCAATTTTTGAGTTGGAACTCAAAAAGTATAATGTTTTAGTGGCTCTAGCCTTAAAATGATGGTTATCTTCGACTATATGAGTGTTATAATTGTTTCTGGCTTTATCTTCTTTTGCTTCAGGGTGTGTCTGCAGGCATTTTCTCCAAAAATGCCTTGTTATAAACCCTCCTTCAACTGTGAGGAGAGGACTTTAAGTTCCTGGATTAGACAATTATAGAAAAAAATGACCTAATTCTTTTTAGCTCTTGTTAGCTATCCTCCATGGTAGCAAATAAAGTAAACAACTGTGCATAAAGAATTAAGCCTAGAACAAAGGCTGCCTTTGGGGAGTATTGATTGAGTATCGACATAACCATGCACAGCGATTGCCAAGGACAGCCTGCTGCAGTCATCTACAGCTGGGCTTGCAGCTGACTGGTGTCTTCTTTTCCCTCCTGGTTGCATGATAACATCTAATCTCTGTGACCCAGGCAGAGACGGCGTGCACCAGCAGAGACGGTGAATGAGGGAGCCTGTTGAGTGTTGAAAATGCTCTGTATCTTGACCCAGTTGGTGTGTACACAGGAATATATATCCTGCCAACGTTCATTCCATGTTCCTGGGAGAATTGTGTCCCCAAGAAGGTATGTTGAAATCTTAACCTCCAATGACCAGAGTGTGACCTTATCTGGAAAAAGGGTCTTCAATCAGGTAATCAGCTACGATGAGGTCATTAGGGCAGGCTTAATCCAGCATGACTGGTGTTCTTAATAACAGAAGGAAATTTGGACACAGACACACAAACAAGACAATACCATGTGAAAACATGGGAGGAAAATGCCACGTGATAACAGAGGCAGACACTGGGAGAATGCCAAAGACTGCTGTTTCCACTAGAAGTTAGGAAGGAGTGCGGAAGGATTTTATTCAGAGTTTCAAAGTGAGGTTGGGTCTGTCTAAACTTTCATTTTGGACTTCTAGCCTCATAATTGTGACAGAATGAATTTCTGTTGTTTTTGGTACTTTGTTACAGAATCCCTAGCAAATGAAGGTAGATTTTGGTAATAGGGCATGGGGTGTAAGACATACTTACAGTTTAGAAGATATCTTTGGAAGTGGCTAATGGGTTGAGGTTGGAAGAATTTTCCAGACAAGCTTAGATTCATTTGATGACATCGGTGGTAGACGTATGGGTCTTAAAGTTGACTCTTGTGAGGGCTCAGAAAAAAGTGTGAAAAAGTTGGAGCAAAACTTTCTCTCCTCTTTAAAGATTTTGCTCGTATATCATCATAAACAGAATGTTGCTAGCAACATGCACCCTATGAAGCCTCAAAAGAAAATGAGGAACAAGTTACACTAGATAAAAAGAAATCCTTGTAATAAAATGGCAGAGAACTTGACTGAATTATATTATACGTTTTGTGGAAAGTAGAACTTATAAGTGATGAATCTGGATGTTTAGCTAAAGTGATTCCAAGCTAAGTGTGGAAGGTATTGTCTAGTTGCTCTGGGTACTCAGAATAAAAATATTAAGAGGGAAAGAGATAAATCAAAGGATGAACTGCTAAGCAAAAAAGGAAGCAGCACTTGATGATTTGGCTCTGGAAACAGAGCCAAGTGTGTGGCCAGAGAACTCTTTGCTAAAGAGATTAAGCATGTGATTTATGAACCTAATTAACTATTTCAGCAAAAGCCAAGAATAGAGAAGCAGGTACACAGATGACCTACAAAGGTCTACAGAGGACCTTCTTGTCTCATGGTTTTGAACTGAGGATTATGTGGGAGACCAACTAGATTTCTGAGAATTTTATACCAGTGTAAATACCAGCCTGGACTGTAAGGATCAGAGTCAAGACGAAGCTCCCATGAGTCTGCAAGAAAAGCCTAGAATTAGGGTTGACAGTCCCCCTTCTGGACCACAAGAGTGGACCCCACACCAGTGGGACAAGAGGACAAAGCATCGAGCCACGAGCATGATTCTCGGGCCTTGCATTTTGAATGGAATCTCCCTCCTGATTTGCACTTTGTACAGTAACATCATTGTCATTTTCAATTTTCGCCTTCCATTAACTCTACATTTCAGAGTTAAGTTGAACACAAAACTTCTGACATGGTTCCTGATTTAAGTAATTCAGTTTGAGGTGAAAAACCAGGGTACAAATTGGAGGCCAATGCACTCTTCCATTAGGCTTTTCTTAAGGTCTGGGTGCTCTAGATAAGATCCCAGGAAGACCTATTGTGCTCTCTGTAGACTGTTTTAAGGGCTCCCCTGGAGACCCCTACCACTCGCCTAAAATGATTTGTTTCCTTCGCCTTTGGATACCCTTCCAGATTCTCCATGTCTAGAGATATTTTATGGGTGTCAAAAAGACTTTTGCCAGCAGGTCTCCTTGTTCTCACTCTGTGAGAAGCCTGACATTCTTTCATTAGGCTCATTCTTAGCACTTTCTAGAAATCTTGCTCATGTGACCAGTTTAAGCTGTTAAGCTATGTGGGAAAAGTCCCAGATTAGCCTGGCTCAGAAGGCCTGCAACTCAGCTCCTTGATGAGGGTGCCTGGGCCAAATGGAGGCACTGAGTGAGTGGTGCAAAAGATAGGTGCTCGTGTGTGTGTGTGTGTGTGTGTGTGTGTTGTGTGTGGCAAGGAGTGACTTAAAGCACCAAAAGCACATGTCACAGCTTTGCCAGACGCCTTGGCTTAAGTTCCATCCAGGCAGACCCAAAGACAAGATGCCAGGCCCAATGCCAGTGCCATGGCTCACTAGGCCAATCCTCCGCCTGCAGCACCAGCACCCCGGGTTCTAGTCCTGGTTGGGGTGCCGGGTACTAGTCCTGATTGGTCCTCTTCCAGTCCAGCTCTCTGCTGTGGCCCAGGAGGGCAGTGGAGGGGCAGTGCTTGGGCCCTGCACCCGCATGGGAGACCAGGAGGAAGCACCTGGCTCCTGGCTTTGGATTGGCACAGTGCACCGGCCGCAGCGCACCAGCCATAGTGGCCATTTGGGAGGTGAACCAACAGAAAAGGAAGACCTTTCTCTCTGTCTCTGTCTAACTCTGCCTGTCCAAAAAAAAAAAAAAAAGACGCCCAGTCCAAGCAATTTGTTTCAGAGATGATATCGGGAAAGCTTGTCAGGGAGGTGAAGAAGTGAGGCAAGAAGGAGAAGGAAGCTGGCATCCGGCGGGCAGCCGAAGCTCCCTGCTGTGGACGACCTGGGAATCAGGTGGATCACAAGGCTCAGAGGTCTCTTCCCAGTGGAAAAGCAAAGGAGCCAGGCTCTGTATCAACCACCTTGGGGCACATGAACGCTGACATTTCTTGGAGGGCCCAAGAGGAGCACATGGGCATTTGGCCTAGCAGTTTAGATGCCAGGTTGGGATGCCCATGTCCCCTACTAAAGTGCCTGAGTTTGAGTCCTGGCTTGGTTCCCAATTCCAGATTCCTGCTAATGTGCACCCTGGAAGGCAGCAGGTGACGACTGACATGGCTGGGCTCTTGCCACCCACCTGGGGGACCTAGACTGAGTTCCCAGCTCCTGTCCTAAGCCTGGCTCCTACATCATGGGGATGAACCAGTGCAAAAGAGCTCTCCCTGTATGTCTCTCAAGTAAACAAATGTTTTTGTTTTTGTTTTAAAAAGAGAAAGTTGTAGAACTTTGCAGGGAACCGTCTTCATGTGCAGAAGTGAACACTGAAAGAACAAGGATGGGGGCCGACAGTGTTTGCCTGGATATCTTTAGATAATTTTTAAAAAATATTTATTCATTTATTTACTTGAAAGGCACAGTGACAGAGAAGATAGAGCTCTTCTATCCACTGGTTCACTCCCCAAATGCCTGCCACAGCTAGGGGTGGGCCAGGTCGAAGTCAGGAACAAGGAATTTCATCTGGGTCTCCCACATTGGATGGCAGGAATCCAAGTACTTAAGCCATCATCCATTGCCTCCCCCAGCATATTGGCAGGAAGTTGGATTGAAAGCAGAGTAATCAGGACTCAAACCAGCATCCAATATGGGATGTTTGACCTGGCATCCCAAGCAGTGTCTAAACCTGCTACACCACAACACTTGTTCCTCTTTGGATCTTTTTTTAGGCTGTCAGTTTCTTCTGAGGGGAATAGTCTTCTGTCTTACCTGAGATCTGAGAGATGGGGCTGGGAGTCCCCACTATTTAATTCTAGAGTTTGTTTGGTCAACCCGCTTTTGGTATTGAAAAGTTCCCAGCTATACTGTTGTCCCTGTGTCACCACTGGCTCATTCTTTCTAGAGCAGCACTGTCCAACAGAAATAGAATGTAAGCCATAGAGGTCATTTTCAGTTTTTTATCAGTCACATTAAAAATAAGCAGTAGAGGGGCTGGCGCTGTGGCCAAACAGGTAAAGCCGCCACCTGCAACGCCTGAATCCCATATGGGTGCCAGTTCGAGTCCTGGCTGTTCCACTTCCCACCCAGCTCTCTGCTATGGCCTGGGAAAGCAGTAGAAGATGGCCCAAGTCCTTGTGCCCCTGCACCTGCGTGGGAGATCTGGAAGAAGCTCCTGGCTCCTGGCTTTCGATCGGCACAGCTCCAGCCGTTGTGGCCAGCTGGGGAGTGAACCCAGTGGATGGAAGACCTCTCTTTCTCTGCTTCTCCTTCTCTCTCTGTGTAACTGACTTTAAAATAAATAAAATAAATCTTAAAAAAAAGCAGTAGAAATCAATTTCAATAGTATTTTACTTAACCTAATCAAAAATTGTTTCAACATATTATTATATTTATCTATTTTAGAAGAAAAAAGTTTTAATTGAGGTCAGTGTTGTGGTGCAGTGGGTTGAGCCACCACCTGCAATACCAACATCCCATATGAGCGCCAGTTAGTATCCTGATTTCTCTGCTAATGTGCCTGGGACGGCAGCAGAAGATGGCCCAAGTGCTTGGGCCCCTGCCACCCATATCGGAGACCCAGAGGGAGTTCCTGGCTCCTGGCTTCCTCTTGGCCCAGTCCCAGCTGCTGTGGCCACTTGGGAAGTGAACCAGCAGATGGAAGATCTCTCTTTCTATTTAACTGCCTTTCAAGTAAATAAATAAATCTGTAAAAGTTCTGTTTTATTTCTTTGAAAGGCAGAAGAGAGAGAGAGAGAGAGATATCATTCATCCTCCAGTTAACTCTCTAGATGCCCACAACAGCCTGGGCTGGTCCAGGCTGAAGCCAGGAGCCCAGAAATCAATTTGGGCTTCCCACCTGGCTAGCAGTGACTCAAATACTTCAGCCATCACCTGCTGCTTCTCAAGGTGTATATTAGCAGGAAACTGGAATTGGGAGTAGAGCAGGGTAGGAAATCCAAGCAGTATGATACAGGGTGCAGGTGTTCCTAGCAATGGCTTAACTGCTGTGTCAAACGTCTACCTATTCTTTTTAAATTTTACGAAGAGTTCAAAATCTGCTGTGTGTTTCACATGTACAACACATCTCAATTAGAATAGCCACACTTCAAGTGCTCAAAAAACCACATGTACCTAGTGGTTACTGATCTGGACAGTGCAGCTCTAGAAGAGAAATTTCCAGTTTTGTGCAAATGGGGGGAAGGGATAGGTCTTCTGCTGCAGTGCATTGGAGTCTACTTGCTTCTTGAAAAGACTTTGGGACAGTTCATCTGTTTTCCCATTCATTCCTATTTACAGACACCAGTGGGTATCTTTCCTAACCATTTCTGTGTTTCTGTGGTATAAACGGGATGAATGGTGACACACTTTCTCCCAGTGTATTTGAGTTTTTTGGGTCAGTTTGCAATCTTCCATCAGTTTTCTCTCTTCCAGTGCTGCCTTGCTATTTATTCCACTCCCAGTATCTTAGTCTTTATTGATTCGTGCTTTAGAAATTTATCTCATACCATTTTAGTGAGATTTTTGTAGAGAACTGAGATAAACATATATTCAAGCTACCATCTTTAAATAATAATAATATTTTTCCATATCACTGGAATATGATTTTGCTTTTTAAAATTTACAAATTTTTAAAGATTTATTTATGTATTTGAAAGGTAGAGTCATGGTAGGTGGAGAGAGAATCTTCCCTCCACTGGTTGACTCCCCAAATGGCCACAATAGCTGGGATCTGCCTTGGGTGGAAGGACCCTAAGTCCGGAACCATCCTCTGCTTTATTCATGGGTGCATTAGCAGGAAGCTGGATCAGAAGCAGAGCAGCCGGCGCCGCGGCTCACTAGGCTAATCCTCCAATCCTCTGCCTTGCGGCGCCAGCACACCGGGTTCTAGTCCCAGTCGGGGCGCCGTATTCTGTCCCGGTTGCCCCTCTTCCAGGCCAGCTCTCTGCTGTGGCCAGGGAGTGCAGTGGAGGATGGCCCAAGTGCTTGGGCCCTGCACCTGCATGGGAGACCAGGAGAAGTACCTGGCTCCTGCCATCAGATCAGCGCGGTGCGCCAGCCGCAGCGTGCCAGCCGCGGCGCCCATTGGAGAGTGAACCAACGGCAAAAGGAAGACCTTTCTCTTTGTCTCTCTCTCTCACTGTCCACTCTGCCTGTCAAAAAAAAAAAAAAAAAGAGGCAGAGCAGCCGGGACTCCAACCAGTGCTCTGATACGGAATGTTGGTGTTGCAAGTGGTGGTTTAATCCACTGAGCCACGACAACTCAT